TCTTGGGACCGTCTGGAATCTAAGAAATAACAGCGAGCACCTCTGCAAACTCAGTTACAGCTAAAGGTATGTAAACGTACATTTCTTACAATTATTCAAACAAATTTAATTTCAAATTGAAAACAAATTTCTTCCAAAATAACTTAAAATCGCGCCACGGATGAACCAAAAAGATTGAAAAATCATGATACTTTTTTCTTTCGTCTATCGATTTCAGAACTGGTTCGGAACTATAGAATTTAGGAATGGTTCGGAACTATCGAAAAAGGGATGCAGCGGGGGGCAATTGACACTTCCTAGGACATCGCCATGTTAAATTCGCCAGTTGCTTGCATGCAAAAGAGATTTATCGCGAACCAGTACTGGGCCTAAATGTACTAGAAGCGCCCCAGTTCAGAACTAGAGATTTTCCCCACAGGGATACATATTTTACATACATATGCATATGTATTTATGTATGCATAGAAACAAACTCACATAAAGCTATAGCAATTGACAGCTTGCGAAATCTCGCTTTCAATTACTGCGAATACTGGAAAATCTGCTAATCATTTAAGAAGCTGTAAAATTCTATAGGACCAAATTTATTGCTTAAAATCCGGAGAGTTGGTATACGCCATGCCAATGCAAATCAATGTTGCCAGGTTGACATTTTTAAGGTCATTTTTAAATTTTTTATTGCCCTTTGACTTTTTGACTTGACTTTTTTTTTGTATATGTTGCATATGGATATATATTTACGTATCTGGAGAAAGAAATCATATGTCATCATGTACTTCGTTTATTATATAAATAAAAAATCTTGTCTAAGTCCCTTCAGTAGTTCCTTTATACTATGTATAGAAGATAGTACTTTTGAAATGGTGGCAACGCTACTCAGAAAAATAATACATTATTACACCTCCAGAGGCTAAGTGTTTTCATTTGACAGTGACGGTGCAGAACTGACGCCTACGCTTATTAGAATTAAATATAGTAATTCTCTTAACAGGTGGCAACCCTATTAAAAGTCTAAATTAAAAAGGTCACTCTCCTATCGATACAGAATATATTAGACAAAATCTCGTCAAAATCCGTTCAGTAGTTTTCGAGATTACCGCGTACAAAAAATCTCGTCTTTCCTTTATACTATGTATAGATGTACATACATACATATATT